GGTGGATTAAATTATGGAGGAATCACATTCTAAATGGAATTGACACAGTTACTTTTTGCCTGATGATACTGGCTTATGGGAGATTTCAAAGAAAAATTGCAAAGTTAGTGATGATTTTTGAGAATTGTGTAAAGGTAAAAAGTTGAAGTGAACCATAGAAAAGAGTAAGTTATAGGGTATCAAATGATTAGATAAAGAAAAATTGATATCAATTGGGGAGGAGGAGTATGGAAGAAGCGAATGTTTTCAGATACTTGGAGTTACTGGCCGGATGGATTTATGAAGGATGAGGTTATCATAAGAATTGATAGGGAAAAAAGTGCGTGGTGCGTTGACAATATGTGGAGTCAAAAAAACGTTATACTATGGAGGCAACGAAGGGAATGTATGAAAGTATAGTATACCCAACACCTTATATGGATGTGAAGCTTGGGTGGTAAATGCAGCAGCGAGGGAGGAAAAAAACGGTTGAGGCATGGAGATGTCCTGTCACGCAATGTGGTTGTGTAAATATATGGCAGAAAATTCGAGTGTTGAAATTAGGAGAAGGTGTGGGGGGGGGGGGTGGGGGGAGTTAATAAAAGTATTTATCAGAGGCAGAAGAGGGGTTGTGTGAGTGTATAGGGGTTCATTTAGAGAGAATGGATCAAAAGTAAATGACATGGAAAGCATATAAATCTATAGAAAGGAAGGAGGGGTAGGGGTCGTCCTCGAAAGGTTTGGAAAAGGGGTAAAGAGGTTTTGTGGGGCTAGGGGCTTGGACCTTTCGCAGCAGGCGTGCATGACGTAGTAGATAGCGAGAATGAGGCAATGAATAACTTGGGCCTGACGATCTGTTGAGTGGTGGAGCAAGGTAAATATTTAGTGAAGGGATTCAGGAAACCGGTTAATTCATATATCGGACTTGAGTCCTGAAAAATGGGAAGTACAATCCTGCACTTTAAAGTAGGGGTTTTGTATATGGCAGTTTGAGGATAACGTATGTTATCTTTAAATGTATATGCTCTGAAACTGTTGTATTCTGAGCACACTCTGCAAAAGCATGCTAGTGCGAGTGTGTGAAATGTTGAATTAGTGATAAAGTATTTTTCTTTTTGGGGATTTTCTTTCTTTTTTGGTCATCCTCTGCCTCGTGGGAGACTGGGCTGACTTGTTGAAAAAAAAAAAAATACACAAATACAGTTTACATGATTACCAACATACAGCATAAGGTAATGATCCTAGTATAACCCAAAAAAATCTAGTGACTTAACTTCCTATTGGGTTCCCTGTAGCTTACCTATATGGGAACAATGTACCATATGGTACCCTAACCCATATCAATTCCAAGGGAACGAATACATCCCTGGCCGTACACCTTGAATAACAGTGACAGTGACAATGTAGGCTTACAATTGGGATGGATATACACATGTGTCAGTAGGTTTGTGGTGGTGCCACCAGCATGGAGCATGCAGCACCACCCAGACTGGGAGACCGGAACCCAAGCCGCTGAGTACAGTGCAGGACTCAGCAGTTCCAGGACAAAGTGCATCATCATCCACTGGTGGAAAGAGACGACTGTGGCTGAAATGTATTTGTTTTTTGCAACTCTAATGCTTATGCCTCATGTCTATAAGCATAATATAAAATCATACTGATCCACAGATATAAACACCACGGTGCATGAAACCACTTGCTTTCAAAAGAATTCCACAGACTGCAGCAGTTCTAGGAATATGTCCAGTGACTGTACATATGTAAATACATATACATATAACAGAACATTACTAATATACAACATTTTAGCATGTTTTTTGTTGTAAACAATAACTGTATACAAAATAATGATGAAAATATTAGTGCAGTTATTGTGCTGAATACAACGAGTGTACATATATACATTATATTGGTCTCACAGGCCACAAACATTACTGAAAAAACAAAATTAGAAATGAAAAGAAAAAGGAACAAAACAGTAAAATAAAAAAAAATGACGCACCCCCCCCACCCCGTGCATTGAGGGTCAACTTCACGCCTCTATATCTTGGAAAGTAGTTATTGGAATTATTTTTTTGTTTTTGTTTTATTACCTATAAAAAATATTATCTTTAATTCTGTAAGATTTTTTTTTTTTTTTTTTAAATTCTTGGACCCTGGCCTGTCACTCTAGAGTTGGCCTCTGGACCCTGAAGGGTAAACTAACAAAAAAATTATCTAAATTACTACCTTGAACAGTGAATTGAAGAGATGGATACTGGAACCATCACCATAGTGAGGTTCATACAGACTGGAGAGCGTGAAGTGCAGAGTATGAGGGTGTAGAGCTGCTGTACACACAACGCGCCCAGCACCACTACAGCACATCACACGAACTCTACCACAACACCACATCAGCTCATTCTATTGTACATAAGCTACAATGAGGAGCTTTCTTCGTTCAACACGCCGGCCATATCCCACCAAGGCAGGGTGGCCCAAAAAGAAAAACGAAAGTTTCTCTTTTTAACTTTAGTAATGTATATAGGAGAAGGAGTTATCAGCCCCTTGCTTCCAGCATTTTAGTCACCTCTTACAACACGCATGGTTTACGGAGGAAGAATTTTGTTCTCTCTTCCCCATGAGATAAGAGGAAATAAACAAGAACAACAACCAGTAAGAAAATAGAAGAAAACCAAAAGGGGTGTGTGTATATATATGCTTGTACATCCAAATGTAGTGTGACCTAAGTGCAAGTAGAAGTAGCAAGACATACCTGAAATCTTGCATGTTTATGAGACAGAAAAGACAACAGCAATCCTTTTTTTTTTTTTTCAACAAAACATCGTATCCCCCAAGCAGGGTGGCCAAAATAAGAAAAACAAAATTCTCCTCTTTAAATTTAGTAATTTATAACCGGAGAGGGTTACTAGGCCCTTCACCCGGCATTTTAGTCGCCTCTAAACTGCAATGGCTTATGGAGGAAGAATGCTGTTCCATTTCCCCATGGAGATAAGAGGAAATAATCAAGAACAAGAACTAGAAAGAAAATAGAAGAAAACCCAGAGGGGTGTGTATATATATATATGCTTGTACATGTATGTGTAGTGTGACCTAAGTGAGAGTAGAAGTAGCAAGACGTACCTGAAATCTTGCATGTTTAAGAGACAGAAAAAAGACACCAGCAATCCTACCATCATTAAAACAATTACAGACTTCCATTTTACACTCACTTGGCAGGACAGTAGTACCTCCCTGGGTGGTTGCTGTCTGCCAACCTACTACCTCATAAAAAAAAATCTTACTTTAATAACTTATTCAGAGTTTTAGTTGAATGTTTACTATGTCATGAACAGTCTTACATTAAAAAATAGGCCCTGAAAAAACAAGCTCATGGAATTACAGGCAGGTAAAGGATACAACAATGGTTGATGGGGGAGAACAGAATGTATACAATAATAATAACATAAGCAAAATGAAAATCTACTTACATTACTTTGGCGATGAAACTCTAATACTGAAAGGAACTTCAATGCAAAAATTACATAAATAAATCTTACCCCAGGTCTTGGTGTTTAGAGAGTTGGCTGGAGTTGAGTAGACAGCTGTTGTGGTACACCTGCTCCAGTGTAATATCTGGTATCGATTAAGTGGAAAGTATTCCGCGGATCATTCCTAGAGCTGCTTGACCTGCCCGCTTTGTACCATATGAAAATCTTTTATAAGTTCACTTTCTTTATAAAGAATCAATACTGTAAGAACATACAGTAAACGGGGCAGCAAAATCGTTACCCCCAGATAATATTTTTAGACTGAATGTACTATTTGTCAGCATTATCAAAAACACTCATATGGTAGTGAGTAAATACCTGCAGTTCAGAAGAAAATCCAATTCTGAATAGTGATAACTCTTTTACTGTTTATGGATTGTGCGATGACATAAAGTCTGAAACAATGTATGCTCTTAATCAGCACACTCTCACAGACACACATATTAAATCATACATGTGTAATGATATACACAGGGAGTACAACATCCTGCCAAGTAGTTAAAACCAAAAGCCTGTAACTGCTTATAATGGTAGAATGGCGTGTCCTTTTTTCTGTCTCATAAACATACAAGATTCAGGTATGGTCTTGCTACTTCTACTTACACTTAGGTTCACACAACACTTACTGACATGCCTAAATACACCAAACACCCTCTGGGTTTGCTTCTCTTTTCTTCTGGTACACAAATAACCCCACATAAAAGAGAGAACTTGCGACGACGTTTCGGTCTGCACTTGGACCACTGAAAAGTCCATGGTCCAAGTCCGGACCAAACGTCGTCGTTAACTTCTCTCTTTTATGTGCGGGTTATTTGTGTATCGTTCCAGTCACGGTATTGTGCCTTTTTTTGTTATTTCTTTCTAGTTCTTGTTCTTGTTTATTTCCTCTTATCTCCATGGGGAAATGGAACAGAATTCTTCCTCCGTAAGCCATGCGTGTTGTAAGAGGCGTCTAAAATGCCAGAAGCAAGGGGCCAGTAACTCTTTCTCCTGTATAAATTAGTAAATTTAAAAAGAGAAACTTTCGTTTCTCTTTTTGTGCCACCCTGCCTCAGTGGGATACAGCTGGTTTGTTGAAAAAAAAAAATGTGTAAGTGATGTACAAAAAAATAAAAACTACTGTTTGGGTACAAGTACAATAACAATTAATATGTATGGCAATATAACAGTAAATATACTGCACAGGTACATCTGTTTACATAATGAAACCTAATAAATAAAAGATGATCTTAGAGACCTCTGGTCTCAGTCTCCCATGAAAGTACCGCCATGAAAATGCATAAGGAAAATCCTTCGAATAACATGTAACACAACCATCTTTCATTAATCCCCAGTCTCTCTAATACCATGCAACAGTGGTACGAATTTGACAGCATTCCTTCTGATACCTTGGAATCCATTACATTCATTCTGGCTCTCCCATTCATTATTAAATAATTCATTACTATTATCTATTAATTCTGTTTCTACTTTTGCTTAAGTGAAAAACACTACACAAATTTTAAATAAACTAGTGTATTTATACTTTTAAATTTACCTTCCACAGAGCACAGCTTGAATCTTCTATTTCTGTGTGGATGTACAATGACAGTAGCATCTGTAGTAGCTTTGATTTTATTAACAAAGGCACCTTTCCGGCCAATCAAACGTCCCACCAGTGTCTGTAAGCAGCATATGGATAAGAGCAAATTTGTGATGTGCAGGTAAATTCTATAAAACAAAATTTGTAAGTAGAAGACTGGTACACAGCAACCATCCAATAAGGTACTACAGTCCTGCCAAATAAGTGTAAGATGGAAACCTGTATTTGTTTTATATGACAGTAGAAGTGCTGGTGTCCTTTTCTGTCTCATAAACCACAAGATAACAGGTGTATCTTGCTACTTTTACTTACACTTAGGTCACACTACACTTGTATGTACACATTTATATTTACACACACTAATCCTAGATGTCTTTGATTTTTTCTTCGCACAGTGGACCCCCAGTTTTCGGCTGAGTGCAGAAGATCAATACAATTTTGGACTTTGAACTATTTTTGGGGAAATTCCTCCCCCCCCCACGATTTGTACCATCCACTCGAAAATCATTAGTACTAGACGTAAACGCCTGACCACTCAATACTTTCCTGACTTACTCTTTGGCACTTAAATGTCTTATTTTAGGGTTACTATAGTCATTTTCATAATCCATCTGATATATTTTTTCATTATTATATAAAAACACATTACATACATAAACCATGCAATGGTTTATATGCGGTGGAGGTAAACATTACGTTTTCTCTGGTCCCGCTACTGGAGAAAACTGTAAGAATCGCATTAGCCCAGTAACCGCACTTATACACAACTTTGTTTTACAATTCTCGCATGAATTATTCATACATCTCCCCTTTGTTTATGATGGCATCAAACGTAGTTGTAAGAAAAACGATTAAACTCAGTGAACATGGTATGTCGATGATAATAATATAGCTGTGGGCCGCAGTGTCTGTAACTGGTAGGTAGGGTTGGATGGAGTGCCAGGAGTGGAGATTGGTGACAACACGAAAAACTAACCAAGATCTTCAATAAAAGGTCTGTAATGTTCCATTGTATCAGTAAAATTAGTCAATTTATATTTAATTCTCATTGTTTTCTGTATCTAAAACTACAGTTATTCTTTATAAAATGTATTTTTGGCTAATATTTTTTGGGTGTCTGGAACAGATTAATTGAAAGTACCTTATTTTCCTTATGGACAATTACTTCGTATTTGCCATTTCGATTTTTCGCCAACTTCTGGAACAGATTAATTACAAAAAAAAAACCCAGGGCTAACGTAAGATCTGTTCTTATTATTCCCTTCAAACTCTATGGAAAATAAAATCTTTCCTCTTAAGCCATGTGTGTAGTTAAAAGTCACAAAATGCAGGAGCAATGGCTAGTAATGCTGCTTCTTGTAAAGCTTACTAAAAGAGAAGAAACCCTTTATCTGGCTTTTGAATGTTCGTGGCTGTTGTGCAATAAGAAAGAGATGATTGTGAGTGATAGAAAAAAGCTGGATGGCCTGGCTCTAAATGAAACACAGCTAAATGCTAGAATTCAGTGGGGAGATATACGTAATGGTATTAGTCAGGCTTCCAACAAGTTACCGCTAAGGAATAGCAATAATTTTGAAGGCATCAGTTACAGTCTGGAAACGAATATAAATGCATAAATTCAGAATTACGTGGGTAAAAGAAAGGGTCGAGTGAGAAGTGGCTTATATGTTTTATGCACCTGGGGAAAAAGAGAGAGAGAAGAGAGAGAGAGAGAGAGAGGAGAGAGAGAGAGAGAGAAGAAGAGAGAGAGAGAAGAGAGAGAGAAGTGAGAAGAGAGTGAAGAGAGAATGAGAGTGAAATGAGAGAGAGTAGAGAGAGTGAGAGATGAGTGAGAGTGAGAGAGAGTGCTAGTGAGAGAGAGTGAGAGAGAGTGAGAGAGAGTGAGAGTGAGAGTGAAGAAGTGAGAGTGAGTGAGAGTGAGTGAGGATGAGTGAGGAGTGATGAGATGAGGAGAGTGAGTGAAGATGAGAGATGAGTGGTGAGTGATGTGAGTGAGTGGTGATGTAGTGTAGTGTGTGTATGAGTGTGCTTGATGGTGAGTGAGTGTGAGTGATGTGATAGTGTGAGTGAGTGTGAGTGTGGGAGTGTGATGTGAGTTGAGTGGATGAGTGGAGTGTGATGAGTGTGTGTAGTGTGAGTGTGAGTGAGTGTGAGTGAGTGTGAGTGATGTGAATGTGATGAGTTGAGTTGATGTGAAGTGTGAGTGAGTGTGCGTTGAGTGGAGTGTTGTATGTGTGTGTGTGAGTGTGTTGGGGTGTGTGTGTGTGTTGTGTTGTTGTACTCTCCTATTTGTTGCAGGGGTAGAGTCCTTAGCCCTGGCCCCGCCTCTTCAACCGTGCTACTGGGCCCTCTCACTCCCCGCTCCATAGCTTAATCAAACCTCGTCTTAAAACGTGTATGGTTCCTCTGCCTCCACTACTCATTTTCTAGCTATTCCACTCCTTACAACTCTATGACCTGAAGACAACTTCCCTACTATCTCTCGACTCATTGTGTCTTCAACTTCCAATTGTGGCATCTTGTTTTCCTGAGTCCCCCTCCCTGAACATCCTGGTCTTTGTCCACCTTGTCTATCCACCAGTTTATTTTTATATGTTCTTACATGTCCACCCTGACCCTCCTGTCCCTCCAGTGTGGTCAGCCGATTTTCCCTTAATCTTCTTCATAGGACATTCCCCTTAACATTGAACTAACCTTGTCGCAATAACCCTTTGTACTTTCACTAGTTTCTTGACCGTCTTTATCAAGTGCGGGTTCCAAACAGGTGCCTGCATACTCCAGTATGGCCTGACAGACACGTGTACATGTAATGAATGATTCCTTAACTAAGTATCAATGCTGTTTTCACTTTGCTAGGCGCCCAAATCCTGCAGCCAGTTATCTGATGATGTGTGCTTCGAGGACATGCTCGTGTTAGACTCACACCCAAGATCTTTATCCTTGATGAGGTTGTCAGACTTTGGCCACCTAGCCTATACTCTGCTGTGTTCTTCTGGTGCCCCTTCCCCTACCTTCAGACTTTGGCATTTGCATGATTAAATTCAGAAGCCATTTTGCTGTACCAGGGTCCAGTCTGTCCAGTCTCTTGAAGTTCCTGCAGGTCCTCATCAGATTAATTTCTCCTCATTTACTTCAACATCATCTGCAAACAGGAGGACACTCTGATCTAACCCTTCCATCAAAGTCGTCACCATATACCAAAAAGAGCACTGGTCCAGACCCTACCCTTGGGACCCCGCTCGTCACAGTCCCACTTCTACCAACCATTAACGTACCATGACTCTTTGTTGCCTCCCCCTTCAAGGATTCTCCTGATCCATTGCAGTCCCTTCCTTTATATGCGCCGATCTCTGAGCTTCTGCACTAATCTCTTGTGTGAACTGGTCCCAAAGGCCTTCTTGCAGTCCCTAGAAGATGCAATCAACCCACCCCTCTCTCTCGGTCTTCTTCTGTTATTTATCATAAAACTCCAGAAGGTTTGTGACATCAGATTTGCCTTCCGTGAATCCGTGCTGGTTGGCATTTATACTCTTGTTCCGTTCCAGTGCTCCACCACTCCTCCTCCATAAGCTGCTCCATAATTTGCATACTAATAACACGTCAAGACACCAGTCTATAGTTTTATGCCTTCTTTCTGTCTTCCTTTTTTAAATGGGAACTACATTTGCCGCTTCCATACCTCATATTGCCCCGTTTCCAGGGACAGTAAAGTGTGGGAATGGCATCGCACAACTATCTACCCCTCTCTAAGGCCCCACGGGAGATGTTGTCCGGTCCCATTGCCTTTGATGCTATCGATGTCCCTTACAGTTTCTTCACCTCCACCTCATCAGTATGTGATGTCTCCAACACCTTGTTTGGTGTATTCCTTCTGGTGTCCCCATCTGGTCTGCCCCCCAATCCTTCCTGTCTCACTGTAAATCTTCCTTAAACTCGTGTTGACTCCTCACATACCTCGTGATCGTTTCTTGTGAGTTTCTCTCGCCACCTTCTTCCTCAGCCTTATCACCTTCCTTGGACTGTTGTCTTCCTCCTAATGTGGCTATAACAGCAGTTTCGGGTCAATTTGACTTTCGATCATGTCGTTTTCATACTGTCGCTGCCTCCCTCCTTATCTTGTTCATACTCTTTCGGCTCTTCTACGAATCCCCTTGTTTCCTGGGTCTATGCCCTCCTGTACCTTTCCATTCTCTGTTGCACTATTTTTGCCTCCCAACACAAACACCTTCGGTAAATCAACCCAACAACCAAGCCTCTTTTGGTCTTCCTATTATTTCTGTTCCCTTGAACAAAACGTTCCTCACCTCCTTGGTACACTTTGTTGCCACATATTCCAGCATTTTTCGTTTACTGATTTTCCTACCATTTCTTTCTCTGTCCCACTGAACCTCATGGCAGGGAAGTTTCTCATACCTGTTATTCCCCCCTTTTATAGTTGGCCTGTCCCCTTCAGTTCCTGGTACCTTCTCCACTTGTAACTCTACTATATAGTCAAAACTCAGAACCACGTGAGCGCTAGCTCCAAGGAGGCCTCTCGTAAGTGATTTCCTTCAATGTCCCTGAACTGCTCAGCGGTGAACACAAGATCCAGTCTTCTGCTCATCCCTCCCCCTCTCCTGGTTGTGTCGCGTGACCTGTTGATGCATGAGGTTTTCAAGTACCACATCCATCATCTTGGCCCTCCATGTTTCGGGACCCCCATGTGGCTCCAAGGTTTTTTCCCATCCGATCTCCCTGGTTGAAATCCCGCCCATTACCATAACTTTGCTCTGCTCAGAGTGGGTCCGCTCCTGCCCCCCCCCCTCCCCTTCTTCTTCTTGCCACCTCAGCCAGTGTGTCCACCACAACCCTGGGTATATATTGTTGTTTCTTCGAACTCCCTCTTGGCCTCCTGCAGTTCTGTGGTGGGTTTATACATCACTCCAATTGAACTAACTTTATGTTCTCCGGATTGAATTGTACCTACAATGTAGTCTCTTTCTCCAATCATGTCCATGCCTTCCCATTTCCTCAAATCCCCATCGTGTTTTAATGAGTCAGTGCAAAAACCCCTCCTCCCCCCTACTCCTTTCTATCTTTCCTCAGGATCTGATTTCGTGTTGGGAAATTTGTGTCTGTTATTGCTAAGCGAGTTTTTGTTTTCTGTGACTGCTATGATGTCTGGGGATTTTCACTGATTCTTTCGTTCCACTCTTCATCTTTATTCGATATTCCACCGCGTTGTTACAAAACCTCAGTTTCTTCTATCATTGTGTCATGCAAGAATATTGGGTTGGGGGAGCAGAGCCTGTGGGCCATATGGGGCTGTGGTGTAGGTGGGGTTTGTGTTGATGGGTGGGGTCAGAATCCCCATAAGGGAAACAGCTTTGGGTGGAGGTTTTGATCTGGGTTGGTGGCAGAGGGAACAGTGAGTGTGGTGATATAGTGCTCAGTTGCTTGGGAATCCGTGGTTGAGTCTTGTGTGGAATTCGGTGGGTTGTGTATGCCCTTCTCCTGTGTCTGTCCTGCGCATTTCGTCATAGCCTCTCGTCCTCCTTGCGTCTCTGTAACCCTCCTCTTTCAGTTAATCCTTTCTTCTTGTGTTCTGTCACGTTGAGTAAATTCCGCCATCTTTGGTACCCCCTCTTTGTCCCCACTTCTTCTCTTGCAGAATCCTGTTCGAAACTGATTCTTCCTCTTGAAAGTTACTACTCTGACAGGGTAGGCCGGATCCCTTCCACTCGTCCAAACCCCCCAATTCTCTGAAATATTTGTCACACCTGGTTCATATTGCCCTCATCCCTATTGTGTTTTCATGATGCCTTCAATCATTTTTTTCTCCTCCTGTTTTTATTTCATCAAAGAGTGTCCCCCATGGCTTCTTGGAGCCCATACACAAAAACAGACCTCCCCTTTTCCTCCCCCTCTGAGTCTCCATCTGCTTTCCCTCTGAGCATTTTTATTTCCTTCCATTACATGTTCTTGCCTTCAGCCCCCTGTCATAATCTGAAACTCTTCTATTCCTCATGAACTGTCTTTCCCTGACCACTGTCCCTTGCTACTGCAGTAGCTGTAGAATCCTCTGGCATAAAGCATAACCTTCATGTCTTCGGACCTGTCCTTGATCTAGTGTGCTCATCGTCTTTTCCATGGCCTCACGGGGGTCTGATAGGGCCTTCGGGTACGCAATGTCTCCGTGTTGCTTACCGTCCCCTTGTCTGCGCCTGACTCTGTACTCACCTGTGTGTGTGTGTGTGTGTTGTTGTGTGTGTGTGTGTGTGTGTTGGGGTGTGTGTGTGTGTGTGTGTGTGTGTGTGTGTGTTGTGTGTGTTGGCAAAATTCCATTTCTGATACTTGACTGGATAATTGAAAGTCGGTAAATGGGTGGTTTCTTGTACTCATTCGATAAAAAAAGGGAGTTCTAGCGAAGTATTTTATGATTTTTGTCGACTGTACATTGGATTGGCCGAAAATAGGGCTCAATAGTGGGTGAAATCGCCGATGCTAAACATCGCAAGACCGCTTAACTGACGAATTACTCTCGCGAAGTTAGCGACCTCGCACTCTTCTGAATCGGCTATTCACCAATTTAAGCCCTATTTGGGCTAATTCCATTGTGCCAGTAGACCATACTCATAGCAAATTTCTTTAGAACTCCATTTTTTGTCTATCGACTGAGTAAAAAAAATTGCCGCATTTACCCATTTCAACTACCCAATAACTGGTCAGAAATTTGCAATTTGGCCAAATTCACGAAAATTAAAATATACGACAATTTCAAAATAGGGTCCAGAAGTACAATGCAGACATTCCTGGCCTAAAATAACATTTTCCTTTGTTCATCATCACTTTTGTAGATGAATGTTCAGATAACCTACAGTTATAAATTAGACAACCATGTGCAACTCTTGGTATCTTATTGAGGAAACGGTTCGCACAGTGGCTTCATCAGTCCTTACAAAGGAAATCTTGAAGAACAGGAAGAGAATGAGGTAATCAGTCCCTCAACCTTGAGTCGATGTGGTCAGTCCATCAAGATTGATGGACTGACATTCACATGCGTAATGCTTTTCAAAAGTAATCTACGTTTTTTTACATATTATCAAATAACAGTGTACCCTCAATAATCGTCCGCCCTGAAATCGTCCATTTCGGAATAGTCCTTTTTTTTCGTCAAAATATTGGCTCGGATATGTCCGGTAACTCCTAATAGTCCTCGACCCAGACGCTAGCAACGTCGGAGCGTCCTCGAGCCGCTCAGCCTTTCCTTCCCACAGTGTGCAGTGTTTTACCATTACGACGTCCCCCTCACGGCACTCAGTGAAATAATTCATTATATTTCATTTATTTAGTCTTGCAAGTTATTTAAGTCAAATAAGCTACCATGGCTCCAAAGAAAGCTCCTAGTGCCAAGGCCTTTGTAAAGAAGTAGGAAATACGATTGAATTTAAGAAAAACAATCATTGAAACAATATGATAGTGGCGTACTGTGGGCCGAACTGGCCAGATGTATAACAAATCCTACAACCATACCTTCCATCCATAGCCAAGAAAAGCAAATCAAGATGCTGTTTTTGCAAAGGGTAAATAGCTGACAAAAAATGATTCACCAGTACTCAAGGATGTGGAGAAGTTATTATTGGTGTGGAAAATGAGAAACACTAGCAGGAGACAGTATTATACGTCGCTATTTGTGAAAAGGCTAGGCATTGCCTTGAAGATTTTTGGTAAAGAAATTGCCTGCAACTATGAGATGTGAGTGATTTAAGGCTAGCAAAGGCTGGTTTGAGAGATTACGAAGCTACTGGGCATACACAGTGTGTAACGCAGGTGAGGCTTCAGTTCACGACCACAAGGCGGCTAACAAATATGTTCATGAAGTCCAGATACATAAACAGTGAGACTGAAACCGGAACAAGTGTTTCAATTGTGACAAACAGGCACTCTTTTTGGAAGAAAAGCCAAAGCGGGACTTCATTACACATGAGGATGTGTCAGATGAAGTGACATCAGAACTGTCATTCTCACACGCTCTACAAAGACAGTGATTGTTTGTGAATGATGGTGAAAGAGTTGAATGATGTGAAAGTGTGTTCTTTCCTGGTTTTGGGTCACCCGCCTCGGTGGAAATGGCCAGTGTTAAAAAAAAAAAAAATTGTACATGGGAACCTTGTGTTGCTTGACTCGCATCGCTCAGGGCCATCCTTGGAAATTCTCCAAAGTTTTTAAGTTTCTTCAAGCTATTACATATATTATATATACGTATTTTTGGTGTAATGTTGGATCTAAGGAAAAGTGTTTTTCAGGAATTTAAAATGCTACACCGTGAACACAAAAGTTTACGAGAAAACGTGAATAACCTACTGATGACAGAAAAATAACTTTTACGGGTGGACTGAAGAATCAAACCTAGCATTATCCTAAGTCCTCTTCAGTTTCTAAGAAGCTGAGAGGTGAGGAAGCTGCTGATGAAAAATTTGAAACTACAGAGACCCGGGTTTACATCTCCTCCTGACATCCTACAATAATACTACTCCCTCTCCACCCTAATGTTAAGGCCACAACTATTTTAAAGGAAAGTAATCCTTTGTAGTGTCTATATGCATTTACTTTTTGTGTTATTTTTTAGGTCTAGTTTTATTCCTAACGTGTAAACATTTTACAGGCATTATATGCATTTAAAAGTTATAAAATGGTGATTACCTTCACAGCGGTTTTTGCTTTACTGTGAAGCCTGGGCGCGAACCGCCAATAAGCAGGTCCTACCTGTACCTAGTTTCCTTGAATCCTTTCCTGACACATCCCGTGAATTTGATTCTCCTCTTTTCCCAGTTTATAGTTCTAACACTGGATGGAAGTGGATCAGAAAGGAATTCTATAGTTTTGACCATCTTGGTACAATGGCATATGATATGTACCATATGGAACATTATACCATATGTACATATAACACATTGTACAATTACCATATGTTACATTAGGTACCATATGGTACATTGTAAAATATGGTACATTATACCATAGGGTACTTTGTACCACATGTACATTATACCATATGTACATATTACCGTATGGAACATGTACCGTATGGTACAATGTACATATAGTACAATGTACCGTATGAAATAAGTCACTGACTTTTTTGGGTTATCCTAGGTTCTCACACACATGCTGCTATGTATGATAATCTATGTAACTGTATTTGTGTATACCCTGAAGACGTAAGCTTACTACCACCCTACACATGCTCGAGTAAATTTATTCAGTAACACAAATAATAAGAAGAAAATGTCAAAGTGGGAGTCTGATGTGGCTTGGATGTTGTGCAAATGAATAAGAAAGAGATGATAGTGGATGTTATGAATGAGAAAAACAGGATGTCCTGGTTTAAGTGAAACAAAGCTGAAAGGGTGGAGAGTTCAATGGAGAGGAATAAATGGGATTAGTTAGGGTTTCAATCGAGTTAGACTAAAGAAGGAGACAAATAATGTTTGAAGAGTAACTATGGCAGAAAAGAGGACTACAAGTCAGTTTTTAAATCCTTGTGGATGGGGTTTCCCAGGGTTGGTGTGAGTTTGGGGGATGTGGAAGAGTTGGTGGAGGACCAAAAAACAAAGAGCAAACCATGGGGCTGCAAGGCTTCAGCAGGAACAGAAACAGATGGCAGCTCTAAATTTTTGTGCAGGGAGGAGGAAGAGAGATGGAGGAAAAGGTCCTTCTTAGAAATTAAAGGAGATTTTTGAAATGTGGGGTGGATGGAAAATTTATGGGAAACTCACCCAGAGAAGGATTTTGCAACCATATTGGCAACTTGTACGTGACGGTCTTGGCCCTTTTTGGGGGAAATTTTTAAATGCGCCAAAAAACAGAGCTCTCTGGACATTTTTTTTGCGAGACAGGACCCCGTGATAAAGGTGGCCCTATGGATTAACTTTCAGGGTCCAAGGCCCCAAAATCGAAGTGCCCAAGAAATTTTGAAAAAAAAAAAAATTATTTTTTTTTACAAAATTAAAAGAGCATATTTTTTGAAGGTAATAAAACAAAAAAAAAATTAGAATTGATCGTACTTACGAGATACGTGCCAAGAATTTTGTAAAAAAGATGTGGGGGGGGGAAAAACATCGACGTTTCCCAAATCGGTATTATTTTTTTTTGTTTTTTAGTTGTTTTTTCTTTTTTTTCCAATTTTTTTCTATTCCTACAACATTTGGGGCCGAGGACCAATACTGTTAAAATGTAATATTAAATCACTGTATTAAAACAAAAAACCGCACAAAAGATCATCATTTTATTTTTTACCACTGTTGTTTATTCCAATAAAACATGCAAAAATATTGTATAATACTAATGTTTATCATATATTTACATATTTACAATCATGGAATGGTTTTAAAAATGCTGGAGCTTTGGAACCCCTTGAAAAGGCCCCCTGACAGAGGCCCTTCTTTCCCTCAACAAAACCCGGTGTTTTTGGTCTTTGTTGCCGTCGTTTTGTTTTGCAAAGACAATGCATCTCTTCTGAGAAAAATTTCTTTGGTTAAAGGGAAGCTTATTTAAAATGATCACCTTCTTTTCTAAAAACCTTGGGTTTTGTGATGAATTCGAGGCCCATGTTGTATTGCAGGTGTTGTTACTGGTTTCATTATGGTTGTTGCAAACAAACAAAATTCACCATGGGTGGTCTTTACCAGTCTTTTTTTTGGTAATTTTTATTGCATTCAGCATTGAAATGCCCATGAGAGGGAAGAAAGTTTCATGTACACTTGTAACTCTTACGAACCAGTCAACAAAACCAATCGGGCATGTCACATTTGTCAAACCAAGGCATGTTTTGGTATAATCACCCGTCACTGGTTTTCGAATGTTCTTTATCACTCGATAACTTTGCCATGTTTGCATTTTTTTTCGGTGAATGGTTGTCAAAAATTTTGGAATCTGTTTGTCTGCCCCTAATGCCTGTGTCATTGGCGTAACACCTGCATGTCATCCCCCACAAACCCTGCGTTGACCCGGGGCTTTTGTTTACGATTAAAACGCACTGTGCCCACACTCTTTTTGTTCACTCGCATAAAAATCATGAGAAATGGGTTGTGTACCAGTTATCGGTATTAATGTAGGCCTTAAAAAAGTAAGGTGCCTCTGTTTCTCACTAGCACATGATATACCCAATAACCTTGGTATCTTTAAAAGTTTTTACCGTGTATCAACAATATCAACCCCGGCCCACGCCCAAAATACAGAGTACAAAAAATTTTATCCCAAAAAGCGGTTCCTCTTGCTCGGTTTAATGTTTAAATGCAGTCTACCTTTAAACAAAATAAAAAGACTGTCAATTAAAAAGATTTTTGAATGGAAAAAAATTATCTGAATTTTTTGTTTGAGTAATGAAAACATTTCTAATCTTGTAACCTGTCATTCGGTCGGGGGCCTGGTTTTGTCAGAGAAAGTGCAAATACGTAAAGTAAGAAAAACCTTTCACTGGTTTTATTTCACTGAAGGGGGGGACAAATTCCCGTTGGGACCAGTATGCTTTTATATTATGTATAGACTGGGAAAAAGCTTATTTTTGAAAAGAAAAAATTTTTCTGAAAACAGTCGTCTTTTTCCCATGTGTAGTCTTGACTGTGGTGATAGATGTATTTGCCATGGTGTACTAAAAAATACTTATTACTTTCCCCGACAATAATTTCCCTCAATGGCTGGTCAAAGAATAAAACAAAAATTCCCGTTCATTGGCCCTGGGTTCCCAAGGGGGAAAGGGAGGTAGAATTCCACTTTGCGAGTCATCAAAGTGGGGAGGGCTGGGGAAAAAAATTTGGGGTTTTGCTGCCAATCCCCGTACGGTTTGCTGGTGGATATGGACATCTGGTGGTTGTACGGGTGGTTTTGGCGGGGTTGGGGGGTGCGCTCCCCTTTTCCTTTAACTGACGAGTCAGCAGCGTGGGTTCCCCCTGGCCCCGGAGTACGCATGGCGGTGCCCTTTTCCCCCAAACCCGCCCCTAACACCATCCATGTGTCTTGGGCCCCTCCATGCAAATGTAGCCACATCTTCACTATCACTATAAAGGGTGTAGGGCCCGGGGTGTACTCCGGGGTGTACTCCGGGATGAATCCGTCCCTGGGCACAGGTAGGGTACACTACCGAGCGCATGCGGCGGCGAACATTTCCCACGCTTCACTGGTGAAAATGTTTCCCCACTATCACTACCGGAAAAAGATCTCGGGCAATAAATCACAATACGTCAGAATCATCGTCTTTTTGAAAAGAGGCCCGGCACGGGAAAAAAATTAGTTTTTCTTACGTTTAGGAAAAACCCCACCGTAGTCCGAGGCCCACACCAGAGGTAGAAGGTGGGATGTCGGGGTTTTTTGCACTATTACGTATTGGTCATTATTTTCGGTCACTAAAATTATCAAAGCGTAGAAATTTGTTTTCATTTCCAATTCCATAGTGTCAGAACTATCAGACGGAAGAGGAGGGCCCAATTTTCGGGGAGTGAGAGCTGACTTGGACGAGACATGGTGAACAAGGGTGACTGAGCCGGCGTTCCCACAATGCATGCAGGCGCCTAGATTTTTTTTTTTACGGCGCCACCCCGGCGCGACCCTTCTCTCATATGTAGGCCCATGACGCTTTCGCCTAAATTTGACGGCGCTGAATTTTTGGGTAGATCTACGGTTTTTCACTCCCGACCAGCGTAGATCTACGGGCGGCCCTGAAAGGGGTTTAAGAAAAAGAGAAGGAAGTAACCCCCGAAAAAACAATTGGTACCCAAGGTGTTGATGGAAGGGGGTTTTCCCCTTCCAAACAGTAAATTATCCAATCAGTCCCTTTCCAGTTTCCCTATACACAAAGAAGAATCGCCCAAAAAAGGTTGTGTTATTTGTTCTGTTTAAATTTATTTGTCACTGTTTGTTTATGTACTACATCTACATTTCATGTAAAAAAAATTTTTGTTTTAATACTTCTGGGTGTCAGGAACAGATTAATTGAATTTACATTATTTCTTATGGGGAAAATTGATTCGTAAATCGTCCATTTCGATAATAGTCCCACTTCCAGGAACGGATTACAGACGATTATTGAGGGACCACTGTACAGTGGACCCCCGGTTTATGATATTATTTCATTCCAGAAGTATGTTCAGGTGCCATTACTGAACAATTTGTTCTCATAAGGAATATTGTGAATTAGATTAGTCCATTTCAGACCCCAAACATACACGTACAAACGCACTTACATAAATACACTTACATAATTGGTCGCATTGGGAGCTGATCGTTAAGCAGGGGTCCACTGTATAACAAAAAAAAACATAGATCAAAGTTTTTTTTACACGTTTTCAAATGTAAAAAAAGAAAAACAAGCTCTACGTTTTTTTACATACTTTCAAATGTTAAAAAAACACATCTATGTTTGGACAGTTTAAGGGTTAAAGAGGAGTGAGTGGAGGCAAGTGGTTTTATGACCTGATGTGGTGCTCGAGTGTGAACAAGGTAACATTTATGAAGGAATTCGGGGGAACCAGTTAACTGGACTTTATTTCTGGAGGTGAGAAGTACAGTGTCTGAACTCCGAAGGAGGGGTGGAGCTACTGCAGTTTGGAGGATCATCTGAACTGTAGTGTCAGCATGCCTCTGGCAAGACAGTGATGAAGTGAGTGATAGTGAAGTGTTCCTACTTTGACAGGAGACATCTGTTGTGTAAAGAAAAAAAAAAAGACTGATTTTAAAATCAGTCTCTTATTACAAACTGCTTTAAATTTCTTTTTATCATCAAATGTTTATGGTAAGTGAAGGATACATTCTTTTCCCCCCTTTTCTTGTAATATATCTAGCCTTCAGATGAATACCCAATCTTCACTGGAAGTCCCATCCCTATAAAAAAAAATGATTCTCCTTAATGTAAAACTTGTTAGTGAACAAGTCTCATCACAACTAAAATATTCCACTTTACACCCATCATCTCATATCTGTTAACCAAACTGTACCTTAAATGCCACAAGCTACATTTCAACCACACAGTATAAGTTCTCAACTTGGACCAGCTGAGACTCAACATCCACAAGGCAGTGAGAAAAATAATTCCTGTAAAGGTCAACATTCTTATCTTAACTACTCTGCTACCCTGCTTCATGTTCAGTAGGTCTGGTGAAGTGAAGTCACTGGAGTTATTATTGATGTAACACAGTACTGAACTGAGAATGCCCTAATTATACTAACCTTGCAAAATATATCATATAAAAAGTCCCAGGTGTCCATTTTTTCACACTTGAGAGAATATATATTTAAAACCACTCCTCTTGCCTTTGTTTAATGGGACACTCATTATTTTTTTTTACTACTGTTCCCGTAAAGAATAGTTTAACTATGTAAAATTTACTGCTTTACATTTTTGTGAAGATGTGGGGGACTAAACCTAGATACATTTACTCAGTTTTATCCCTCTTTTTGGGAGTAAAATATTTTATTTTAATCACAGGAAGGTGCCCCAAAACTTATAGGGATCATTTACTTTCTGGAGAAGGGGAAAACCCTTTGGGTTTAAACCCAAAGGAAAGGATCAAAAGTACCCACTGGCATAAAAAATTGGCATCCCCTATGAGGGGAAAAAGTGTTTTGAAATAGGGGGGAAAATTTGCAGACTTATTTCAATAAAAAACTTTAATGCATGCTTACAGTAAAATAGAGCCATTTTAAAAATCAAAAGGGTTTAACTTTTTTGTCTTTAACATTCAATGCCAACCCAAATTCAATCCCCTACTTAAATTTTTGGCTAGCTAGTGTCATTATATGAAGAAACCCAGTATTTTTAAACCCCTTTTGGGAATTTGAACCCCCCAAACCCTGGGGTTTGGTCCCCTGGTGTTGCAAAATTTAAAAAAAAAAAATATTTTTTTTTTATAAAATGATAGAGAATTTTTTCCCCCGATTGTAATAAAAAAAAAAAACGAAATTTGAGGGAAAAAATGACGGAATTATGCTCTCACAAAGTTAGCCCCCTCGGCGCTGTTTAAAAATCGGCGATTTCGCCCATTTTGGCCCCTATTTTCGGTTTAATTCCATTGTTTAATTTTCCCCAAAAACTCGTAGGTATTTCTTTAGAAACTCCATTTTTTTATCGTTTGAGTACAAGAAAAATTGCCCCTTTAAACGATTTCAATTACCAAATTAATGTGGTCAAAATTTTGGGGCTTTTTGGGCCCAAATTTTCACAAAAAATTTAAAAAAAAATATGAAAATTTTCAAAATAAGGTCCAGAATGAAAAAATGCAGAAAAATTCCTGGCTCAAAAATAACATTTTCTTTGCTCATAAAGTAAATGTTTCCAGGCCCCTTGATATTACTTTTGGGTTTTCCCTTTTTTGAATTTTTTATTCAAAAAAAAAATAAAAGGGGACCTTCTTTATGCAAACACGAAATTATGAAATTAATTGTTTTAAATAACATAAAACCCATTCATACTGCATTTTTAGAATGGCTACCCTGGACATTTATTGGCAATGGCATCATTTTTTTTACTTTTAAAACTTTGGGGAAAAAATAAAAACTTTTTCCCCTATTTGAGCCCCTTTTCTAGGTTTTTTTTATGTTTTTATCAATCAAAATCCCCCTTTTTTTCTATAATATGTTTTCCCATTCTATAAAATGAAAAAAAAAGAAAACGAAAAATAAAACCAAATAAATACTTACGAAAATAGCCAAAAAGGTCGGCTTTTTAAATTTAAAAAAAAAAAGGCATTTTTTTTTTTTCTCATTATGCCGGCTTTTGCTCCAGGATTTTTTTTTATGGTGCCCCAATAAACCACCAGCCCCATTCTCTAACATGTGGGCCTACCAGTTTTTCCCCTGTTTTATTTGAAGCCTTTAGTTTTTTATAAGTATATTTTAGTCAAAACGGTACCTCGTAAGCGTATATATACGGCCCCCCGGACTTTAAAAGGGTTTTTTAAAAAGTTTTGTCTGTTACCTTTTCTAGCTTTTACTTTTAATTCATTGAAGACAAAAAAAAATTTTTTTAATTTAAACCCCATAAACGGTTCCAAAGCAGATCTACTTTCCCACATGGTATTTGCCCCCCCAAAGTAGATCTAAGTTTTTTTTACATATTTTAAAATATAAAAAAAAAAAAGTAGATCAAAGTTTTTTTTACACTTTTTCCCAAAATTTTAAAAAAAACCAAAAAAGATTACTTTTTTACTTGTTTAAATTTTGAAAAAATGTATATATACTTTTGGGCCCTTTTTGGGGGTTTAAAAAATAGAAAGGGGAGTTGCATACAACTTCCCTGAGGAATCTAAAAACTCATAGAAGTGTACTGTTCATGATTAGAGTTTTGGGGAATTTGTTGAGGGGTTAAAATGGGGGTTCCGGCCTATTTCCTGCTCCTTTGACCACTGTCAACTGATTTCTGGAAACAACATTTTTAAAATGTTTTCCCCCCATATTTTCATATTTAAAGGGAAAAAAAGTTTTCCCTGCAAAATTTCCAGATTTTAATTTTTTGCAAATGAAAAAAAATTTTGCGGGCCAAAAGGGCTTTTTTAAAAAGGGATAAATCGGGAAAAGCCATGAAAAAATCTTGCCACACGGGCATATCACAATTACTATTCAGTTAAGATTTTTATGTTAAAATGTTTCAAAAACTCCCTTATTTGATGTATATTTTTAAAAAAATGCCCTAGAATTAAAACCCAGGCCCTCTAAACAGTATGCATACCTAAAAAATTTATTTTTAAACCCCTTTGAGGGCCCGAGGGGGCCCTCTCCCAAACCTTTTCCCGGGTTTCAAAAAAAAAAAAAAAAAAAAAAAAAAAAAAAAATTCTTAGGGAAAAAAAGAGAACCCTTTTCCCGATTGAAAGGGACACCAAAAGTATGAAATTTGTTTGAAAAACTTAAAAGAATTATGCTCTTGCAAAATTTTAAACGGTCTAAAGTTGGGGGATTCCCCATTTTTTGGGCCCTTTTTTGGGCCAAATTTCCCAATTTTTTTGCATTTGACTTTATAAAATCATAGTTAAAACCCTCCATTAGTTTTTTTTGATTTTAAAGTACAAAAAATCCACCCTTTTTGGGTTTTTAATTTACTCAAATAAAGTGGTCAAAATTTGGGCAATTTGGGCAATTTCAAAAAATTTAAAAAGGGTTGCCTTTTCCCAAAAATTTAGGGTTCGAATAAATAAGACGGGTTTTTCCCCTGGCTTTAAAATATTTTTTTTACCCTGTTCATTAGTCACATCTCTTCCCCCCGTACTTTAAATTCGCTTTCCATTTTGAATTTTTTTCTACAAAAAAATAAAGTTTTCTGTTTGTTTTATACTCCCATTATTGAAAAAATGGTTAATAAATGCCATCAGGACTTTGAAAAAATTTTTTTAGACCCCACCGTCGAGTGTTTTTAAAAATTGCGTGACTTAATTTGTTTTACCCCCTTGGGTTATCCCCCCCCCCCCCCCAAAAAATCGAACCTTTTTCTTTAAATTTTAGTTTAAATTTCCGGGTTTTACTTGTCATCGTGAAACCAATAAAAATTCATTCTAATTCTTTTAATATATCTTCCTTTCTATCAAATGAGCCCAAGGAAACGAGAATACAACCATAAATCCCATATAAAAATTCCCCTAGAAAGTCGCTGTTTAAAACCAAAAACACAGTCGAATTTTTTTTTTTCTCATTATGCACAGCGTGTTTCCCAGGATTTTTTTTATATGCGCACACTGACCACACGGGGAACCCATTCTTTATTGTAGGCCTCCCAAGCTTTCTTCCATAGATTTGAAGGTGCTGAATTTAGGCTTCAAGTACGGACCGCCCCGGGTTTTGAAATGACGTACGGTACTTGTCCCCGTCCCCGACCCTCAAAGGGTTTTAAGAGCTGTTTCCTCAATTTTTGTTTTTTTTACTGCTTTTAAAAAACCTTTAAAAATAGCCAAAAATTTTTATGAATGGTCCCAAAAGGTGAAAATTTAAAAAAATATAAAAGAGGGTTTTTGACGGGAAAACCCTAAAATTATAGCACGCTCTTCACTTAGCGATGAATTCATTTACCCCCGGGGGTTTTGGGAAACCCAGAATCCGTCATTCGTGAGGAGAGGTTTGGTAAATCATTTTTTATGCATTAAGAATTTTTTACTAGTGCAAATACAAAACAGTGGAACCCTTTACTTACGAGGGGTCCCCCAAAATTTGGTGTTTCAAGCATGAGCCGTCGCCAGTCAATTTTTTGCCCCCAAGTTACGAATTTTCAAACGAAAACTTCCCCCCCCTTCCCCCTAACCCCAAAAAATGCACCAAAATGCTTGTTTATCTATGATTTCATGGGTTTTTAAATTTTCCCTGGGGAAAACATCCTCTTTTTCTTCTCAGCAATGTTTTTTTACCCCTTACTTTTTTTAGGACCCATGTCAGAAAAAAGGAAAAATTTGGGCCCAAAAAACTGTTTAAAAAAAAGTTAAACAAAATACGAGGGGGAAATGCTCCCCCAGCGAGGGGGAAAAAAAGTTTCCCCTTAGGGTTTGGCCCGAGTTTTGAAAAATCTCATTATTATTATTTTTATTATTTTAAATTTTGGGGAAAATGGAGCCAGATGCAAAAACCCTAGATCAAGAGCCCCTCACCCAAAGTGTATTTTTATTACGTATTATTAATAATAATTTAATTTAAAAAATTAAAAATACGTAATTTAAAAATGCAACAAATTGTATCAGTTAAATTCAGTGATTTTAAAAAAAAAAAACGAAATTTTTATCAGTTTTAAAGGGCAGCAATTTAAAATGTAGCCTTTAAAAGTGTAGCAAGTAAATTAAAACGGTAGAAAAAAAGGGTGAAACAAAAACTAAATCCTCAATGAATTTTTTAAAGGTTTTTTGGGCCACGAATCATACAACCCCTCTCCCTTTCCCCCCTGAAAAATTCCGCCCAAAACTCCCGCTCCCCAAATGTATACGTAGTTTTACAAATTTTTTATAAACAGTTTATTTTTTTAAAATTTTCTATTTTGTTTTATTATGTTTTTAACAAAAATTTTTTTATAAATACAGTGGACCCCCCGACCAAACATGGCATCGTAAAAATGCTAAATCCCAATTTCAATAATTTTTACGCAAAAAAATTTTTTCCCCGGGCTAGCGCTAAAAAAAAAGACCAACGCGATTTCGTTCCCTTCGAGACGCGGGCCCCGTGTGGCCTGAGCACGGGCCCCACTTGTCCCGTGGGTGCCAGTGTTTACAAAACCCGCCACCGCCGGGGCATCCCAAACCCTACAAACGGAACATTTCATATTTTTCCACACATTTTTAGTGAGTGGGACCTGCAAAAAGAGTCACCATGGGCCCCCAAAAAGGGAAAATTCTAGTGCCAACCCTGTGATAAAAAGGGTGAAAAATTGTATGGAAATTAAGAAAAAATTTTGAAGGGGTTTTGGGGGTAACCCTGAGATGCCTATGCCAGTTGGGAAAACCATTGTGCCCCCACTTCCCAAAAATTAAGGGAAAAAGTTTCAAAATGGGTTGAACTGCAAAACCCCTTTTTGGATGAAAAATCACCCTAAAAACAGCTATTGCAAAACCGTTTTGGTTTACAAATTTCATTGACAATGTTATGGCCATTTTAGACAAATCTTTTAAAGGGGCGGGAGTTTCAGAGCTTAAAGGACAGATTTGTTGTGCGACGAGGTCCCGTGATCTAAGTGGTCCTAGTGGCATTAAAAAAAGAAGGGAAAATAACCCGGAAAAAAGGGCTTGGGCCCTCAAGTCCTAATGGGAAAGGGGATTCCCCCTTTTTAAACACTAAACACCCCCTTCCACCTTTCCCCCCCCCCTCCCATCAATCATCACCAGAAACTTCAATAAAGGTTTGTGTCATGAATTGTACATGCCCTTTTTCAGTTTGTGTGTATTAAAATTTAAAAATTTCATTGGTAAATTTTTT